AAGTTCTAAAACTCAAAGGAGTGGAGACAGAGGGAAGAGAGAAAAAGAAAGAGCCGGAACTATAATAAGACCTAAGAACACTCCTTTCTCAAGATGGAGAGATGGCTTAGTTGGTAAAGTGCTTGCCCTTCAGTCACAAAGACCTGAAGACCAAGGTTCAATTCCCCAGAATGCTTTTTTAAAAAATGGGCAGGGGGCTGGAGAGATGGCTCAGAGGTTAAGAGCACTGGTTGCTCTTCCAGAGGTCCTAAGTTCAATTCCCAGCACCTACATGATGGTTCACAACCATCTTTTGCATGTGGTCCAGAGTTCTCCATATTTATGCAGTTACATTCCATGTCCTGGATGAGCAGGCTCAGCCTGACACACAGGCCTAGGTCAACCTTGGGTCTCAGCTTCCCACAAAGAAACCAGGCACAGACTTCCCAACCTTGACCTCTTAGACAGCTGTGGTGGTTTGAAAGAAAGTGGCCCCCAAAGGGAGAAGCACTATTAGGAGGCGTGGCCTTGTTGGAGGAAGTGTGTCACTGTGGGGGTGGGCTTTGGGGGTCTCTTTTGCTCAAGCTACCCTCAGTGTGACAGTCAGTTGACTTCCTGTTGCCTCTGAGTCAAGATGTAAGGACTCTCAGCTCCAGCACCATATCTGCCTGCATGCCGCCATGCTCCCTGCCATGCTGATAATGGACTAAACCTCTAAGACTGTAAGCAGCCACCTCAATTAAATGTTTCCTTTGTAAGAGTTGCCATGGTCATGGTGTCTCTTCACAGCAATAAAAACCCAAACTAAGACAGCAGCTGTGATTAACATGACCTCCAATACTCAAAAAGAGGGTTTCCCAAAAGGTGCCCCTCTAGGCATATTACATGGCTTAGGACATGCCTCTTGGCTGGATTGAAGCCCCATGTGCCCATCAGCCAGGCACAGGAGCAGCTGTGCTGGATAGTTTTATGTCAACTTGACACTTCCTCCGAGAGGAAGAAACTTCAATCGAGAAAATGCCTCTATAAGATCAGGCTGTAAGGTATGTACTTAATTAGTGATTGATGGGGGGCAGGACAGATCATTGTGGGTAGCACTACCCCTGGGATGGTGGTCCTAGGCTCCATAAAAAGGCAGGCTGAACAAGCCATGAGGAACAAGTCAGTAAGCAGCCCCCCTCCATGGCCTCTGCATCAGCTCCTGCCTCCAGGTTCCTGCCCTGTTTGAGTTCCTGTCCTGACTCCCTTCAATAGTGGACATATGGAAGTGTAAGCCAAATAAACCCATTCCTCCCCAAGCTACTTTGGTCATGGTGTTTCATCACAGCAATAGAAACCTTACGACAGCTACAGTTCTCCCAAGTACAGTCACCCACCTAAGCTGAATCTTGAGTCATCTACCGCCAGCTGGCAGGACTGATCTTAGCTCTCCCAATAGGTACATACATGCCTGCAGCCCTGGATCTTTGTCAGAACCCACTGAAATCAGTGATGTCTGTGAGGCCTACTCTGAGCCTGGTTCTGGGTTAGTGCTCTCTCGCTGGAAATTCCTAGAGCACTGGGATGCTCCTTAGCCTTGAAAGTATTGATGGACACCTACCCACAATAGCCTTCTCCAGAGATGTAAGGACAATGCAACTGTCCTCTGAAGGGGCATCTTTACAGGGTGGGTGGAAGGCTGTCAACACACCAGACTCTGGCCTTCAGATATATCTTTCTCTTCAGATTTTCTCTGATCCCTACTGCCATCATCATACTGGCCTTTGGAAGCCTCACTGTTCAATCACAGGTCCCAGGTTACATATGCTCACCCCTAACATTCCTTAATACTAACAACATAGCAGATGCAAGACTAGAGTGCTGGCCAGGCTTCTGGAAGAGTATCTGTCTTAGTTAATTTTCTATTGCTGTGATGAGACACCATGAACAAGACAGCTTTAGAAGAACATTTATTTGGGGCTTACCGTTTCAGAGGGTAAGTCCATGACCATCATGGCCGGAAGCATGGCAGTAAGCAGGCAGGCACGGTGCTGGAGCAGTAGCTGAGAGCTTACATGTTGATCTAGAAACACGAGGCAGATAGAGCTACCTGGGAATGACATGAAAACCTCAAAGCCCACCCAGAAAATGCCCCCAGTGACACACCTCCTCCAACAAAACCACATCTCCTAATCCTTCTCAAACAGTTCCATCAATGGGGGACCAAGTATTCAGACATATGAGACTATGAGGGCCATTTTCATTCAAGCCACTAGAGCTCCCAAGTAACAACAGAGCAGGGCATGAACCTGGAATGACAAAGTAGTCCCTCAGCTCCAGCTTGGGGTTCTGCTAGTGGCACCTCTCTGAACTCACGGTTCACGCTACCAGATATCATCTTTGAGGTCACTTCAATGCAATGAAGTCCCAAGTCAAGGAAGGTCAAGAAGAGCAGGGATGTCTCATCTTGTCTAAGACCCACCTTTGAATTTACAATTTTGTGGGCTCTGTACTTCTTCAAATAAGATGGGATGGCCATTCATTCATTCACTCATTCAACAAATATTCATGCTATACAAGAGGAACAGAAGGAAAACTAAAGGACTTGATGCCATTCCCTCAAAGTCCATATGTGTCTATGAACCAAATTCCTTGGCCTTCATTTTCAACATAGATGCTTTCAAACCAGGCACAGAGTGTAGCTGGAAGAGCACTTTCCCAATGATTTGACCCCAAAGAATCTAAGTCTGAGCCCCCTAAGAGAAAGTATTTACCCCAGACCTACTAAATTCTATTCTCCAGAGGGAGATGTGATGGAGGATAAGGGGGTGGAAATTGCTTTTAAATAACTCTCCAGGGGTGACTCCTATGTACATAAAGGTTGGAAAGCATCACTTTGACTCTACCCTCATTCAGCCTCCTGTGATTTTATTACCGCACCCTGGACTGAAAAGTCCATGCTCAACAGTAATTTGTGGGTCACAGTTCTTGAGACTGAGAAGTACAAGATCCAGGTGTCAGCAGTTTGGGTGTCTGGTAGGGCTTCAGGAGGGCCTGATGAGGCTTGGTTTCTGTATTCTCACATGGCTGAATTCCCAATGCTGCTTCCTCATCTGTAGGCTAGGGCAATGATTCAGGGTGTGTGTGTGTACTCGCGCGTTCAGAATAATATGCGGAGAACCATCCAAATTGCATACAGAGGCTCAGACTTAGCTGCTATACACATTGACCCAACAGTGGAGAAAGGCAGAGGTAGTGTTGCACAAAAGAAGATTTCACTCCAGGTTTTGGCTCTGAGAGCTGCCTGGTGCCTTCAGGCGTCGTGGTTGGCACTACATCAGCCTTCACTGCTATCCACACCTATGCTTCTCCCTTAGGGGAATCCATGTTCTCATTTCTGATTCCCTTCCCAGCTGCTGATAACAAAACCCATCATTAGGATGACTCTGGGTCTTGGAAGCCAGGTTCTCGAGAGGGTGGAAAACAATTCTATCCTGAGGTTCTGAGACTAAACGCTTTCCTGGGAGGAACTGTAATGCAACTGCAGCACACACTGCTGCAGAGACTGCTGCAGCCTCTGGCCGGTGCTGACTGCATTCCGCCTGGGAGTGCCTTCCTCGGGGGGGGGGGGGGGGGCAGCCTTCTTCCTCTTCATCACCTCATTGTCTGCTTTCACCCATCAAATGCTGCCTATGCTGAGGATGACAGAGACCAAGGATAGGAGAAAGGTGCCTCCCTGCTCTTCTCTTCACACAGCTAAGCCCTTCTGAGGACTCCCTGGTCAATCAGATCTACCCCATGGCCCTTCTGCTGCCTCAAGGTGGTGAGGTAAGCATGTGCTCAGGCTGTGGGGTTTTTGTGCCCCACTTTGCCATAACAGTGGCTTATAATTGGATTAACCATGTTTCCAATACTACCTACAGTGTTTGGAACATTCAAATCAAATTTGCTATTAATTAAATGTTTAATGAGTCTTAATAAACTATTAGATGAGTTAAATAAATTGAACAGCCAAGGCCTGTGATTTGAATATTCCCCTCAAGCCCACAGGCCCAAGTTGGAGCAATCTAACAAAAACGCAAAAATAAAATAGGTCATATCTCTTGCTTTAAACGGTTCTGTAAACAATTATTGCAAAACTGTTGAAGAGGTAAGTTAGTACTCTCTGGATGGCACTGTTGCCTTGGGAGAGTCTCAGTATTATGAAAATCGCTATGTTTACTTGAAGCCTTTCCAAAAGTGACTTCCAGAAAGCACATACACTCACCGAGAGAATGTATGGAGCCGTGCTGAAATAGCTGGTCAAGCCCAGCAGTGCCACAAGCATCCCTGGCCCTGCTCCTTCCCACTGACTAAACAACAATGTATAAGGCAGGTGGTGGTGCACACGCCTTTAATCCCAGCACTCAGGCGGCAGAGACAGGAGGATCTCTGTGAGTTCGAGGCCAGCCTGGTCTACAAAGTGAGTTCCAGGACAGCCAGGACTACACAGAGAAACTCTGTCTCAAAAAAAAAGTATGAAAATACAAAAGAGTACTAAAGTTAAAAGTTCTCATGAAAAGAATAAATTACTTCAAATTTACTTTTTGAAAAAAATGTTGAATATGAACTATTCATTAATAGATATTAAGATGATGATAATTTCAGTTTCCTTAGTGACAAAGATCATTAATCACTGGAATGAAGACCTTCAAGCATCTTTATTGGTTCTAAGTCAGTGGTTCTCAACCTTCCCAATGCTGCCACCCTTTAATACAGTTCCTGGTGTTGTGGTGACCCCTGACCATAAACTTATTTTCACTGCTACTTCATAACTGTAATTTTGCTGCTGTTATGAATTGTAATGTAAATATCTGTTTCTGATGGTCTTGGGCAACCTCTGTGAAAGGGTCACTTGACCCCAAAGGGTCCCAACCCACAGTTTGAGAACCACTGTTCTAAGTGATGGTCATGTTTATGGTATAGTGATGTGTCTGATGCTGGCATTGATAGACCCCAAAATCTAGGGTCTCAAGTGGGCTCCCCAAGAACCCAGACTCCGGTCCAGTTGATGCAACAGCACGAGATTTATTGAAGCGACTGTACAGACAGGCTAACTCAGCTCCAAAGAGCAAGAGTCGCGCCTATTGCAATCACATGGGTACTTTTAAAGGAAAAACCCACAAAAGCCATAAGATTACAATTCCCATACAATTTCGTTTTGATTGATTTATGTCTAGAGGCTAATTTCACAAGATCATGGTCTGATCACAGAGTGGGTACAGTCATGTCCGCATGTACATTCTTCCTGAAACCTTAAGGGGGGGTATCAGGGCAGCAGTGGAGTTTACACAAAGGTCACAGTGGTCCTTCCTGGAACACTTGCAATTATCCCAGTCACAGTTGAACACATCTCTTAACAGAGATCTCTTTACATTGTTACATTGTTGCAGGGGTGGTTGAATAATGGCTGAGTCAGGTTGCCCTTGGAACTAGTTTTCTTTTTAGTTCCTTATTCTCCTAGGGCTTGGGGGTGTGTAAGCCTGAAAGGTTAGGGTCTTTCAGCATCACAGAGTCAAGCAAGACACACTCAGAACATGATGAGCTCAACATCTCCCTTGGAATGCTGGAGGAGTAACAGTCATGGAAAATCCAACCAGGGACAAAAGGGAAATGGTAGTGAAATGAGAGCCCCACACATCACAGCTTGGCCTTAGGTTTGGGACATCTAACAGGGCAAGACCAGGCTCAGCCTAGACAAAAGCCCAGCTCCAGGGACAAGACCAGGCTCAGCCTAGACAAAAGCCTAGCTCCAGGGACAAGACCAGGCTCAGCCTAGACAAAAGCCCAGCTCCAGGGGCATTGTAACTGACCTGGAACCATTTATTTCAGGCAACACTTCAGTAGTATTTGAATGTGGGAGCACCTGGAGAGGGGTGGATGCAGATAAAGTAGGCCAAGAATTTCTGACTCATTCATTCATTCATTTATTCATTTAGCCTATCCCTCCTGCTGCCTATCATTTCAGACCCAGTGCTGGGGACAGAGGACAAAGACAGGGGCCAGACAGCTCTTACTTCCAGGGAATTCAGAATGTGATAGGAAAACCATGCTACAGGTAAGTTATTGTGACTCCGGGTTATAAAGGAACAAGGGTTCCTTCACCCCACCTAGCAGAGGTCTCGTAGACACAGCAGATACTGGCATCCCATGGAAGGACCAATGGGAGGCTCAGAATGTGACTTCAGCTGTATAGAGGGATGGCATGGCCCTCTGGAGAAGAGTGATCAGCTCAATAGGCTGGATGGAGATCATCAATCTTTCAGCCTCAGGATGACTCTGTGGGTTCTCAGGTTCACTCTGAAGCTTCATAACATCTTCTGGCACTCTGAGGAGAGACTCATGACCAGGTCCAAATGCAGCACCAAAGGACATGGTCCTGAGGTGACTCTTAAGGAACATGGGCAGAGCCAGGAGAGTGGACAGGATTCCGTTTTCTGGAACTCCAGTGGCGGGCTACTGTGCTGTGCTGCCCCGTTCTAAAGACCGCAGGGGAAGACTGGGACGCTCTGAAGGCAGAAGATCAGAGCCTGCACGGGCTTCTCTCCACCTGGACTACAGGTCTTTCTGCTTTATTTTCCTTCACAGGTGTTACTACCCGCCCTGCTTTTTCTACTCCGCCAACCGGAAAACAGCTGAAGCGTTACCACAGCATGGGACAGGCTCCAGGGCCCTGAAAGCTTGGATGACTGGCGGAGCTGGAGTGCCCACAGTTGTCTTTGTTACTTAGCTGAACTACGAACATGCTAAGACTGCTAAACGGTTCGGGTTGGACTTCCCCCACAGGCTGAGCCACAGGCCTGTGGAGGTCTCTGCCCTCCGGCCAGTTTCAGGACAACAGCTTCAAGCTGATTCCTCCCCACAGCACTCCTCTCTACCCCACCCCCTCAAGCTGGGCCCTGACCCCTCTCTTCCCAAAGGTGCAGGCTCTCACATCTGCGGCTCCTGCCCTTCCCAGCTGCCGCCACCCACTCTGTCTCTCTAGTCTTCGTCTTGGACTTCCTGTGTCCCTAATCCTCTCCTTACTTTTTCTGAAAGAAGCACAGTGGGCCTTTTCCCGGTTAAGGAATTTACAGCTAGTCACTGAGTAGATACAAACACAAGGGGAGAGGGAGGGGTAAGGAAGGGCCACGGGAGAAGTGGCATTCATGTTGGCAGGTGATTAATTCCCTTCCTTGACTCCCTTCTTGGACATTCCCACATAACTTCCAATACTGTTTTCATCCTTTAGCTCTAGCTGCAGAATTGAGCCACTGGGCCTACCCAAATCTAGTACAGTGTGAGGAAAGCTGGGTTCTCCAGTGAGTTCCTACCTCAGAGGGTGCTTCTCTTTTCATCCTCTCCTTTCCCCAACTGCCCCTGCTGTCACCTGCCCTGGTCACCCTTGGGCCCTGGCTGCTCTTTACTTCCCACCGGAGAGCGGTCTTCCCTGACAGGGGGCTTCACATAAAAGTGAAGGGAAGTAAGTCCGTATTCATCCCTTTCACCTCAACCTGAAGGTCTGCACACCAGGCTGCCTTGTGACCATCCTTAGTAAATGATGGAGAGCCAAAAATGGAGGTGAGCCAAGGAACAAGAGAACTGGGTGTTTTGCCTGTGTGTGTCTGTGTGTGTGTGTGTGTGTGTGTGTGTGTGTGTGTGTGTGTACCATGTGCATGCAGTGCCCTTCAGAGGTCAGAGGAGGGGATTGGAGCCTCTGGAACTGGAGTTATAGACGGTTGTAAGCTGCCATGTAGGTGCTGGGAACAGAACCCAGGTCCTCTAGAATAGCAGCCAGTGCTCTTAACCACTGAGCCATCTTTCAGCCCCCTCAGATTCATCTTTAATGGAGGCCATAGCATCAAGAGCAATAAGCACCATTATCAAGGGCTGCTGGCATGGGTTTCTCATTTTCTCCCTGGGAAATGTTTTCTGGATGCAGAAGGGGAGGTTGAACATAGCAGCAATGCTGGGGAAAGCAGCCGGCCTCACAGTTCTGCTCTCTCAGTTAGTTCTTCCAGGATAGAGAACTTGCAGAGCTCTGGGCGTGATCAGAAGGATAAGGGCATTTTCCTTATTAAAACTTGAACAATACAGATCTTTCTTCTGGCTAAAGCACCTGTATGTCACCTCATACTCAGGTTAGCAATGAGTCATTTGAAAAAGATAAGTCTCTGGCTTTCATTCAAGATCAGAATCCAGGGTTTGCGGGACAGGAAGTAATTTCTTGTCTCTTCTCTTAATGGGAAGACAAGAAATCACAAATCAACCTTCACATTTTACAAATGGAGACCTGATGCCCAGAGAGTCAGGGGATACATCCACAGTCCTAAAGCAAGTCAACAGCAGGGCCAAAACCACATCATGGTCTCCAAACTCCCAGTTCAACAGCCTTATTGCTGTGTAAGATAAGGCACAATTTTCTCTAGGCTCATTGGAAAGGGAACAGTGAAAAAATACAAGGAGCAAAATATTCGCTTTTTGGGTTTTCTGTAGACATCAGTGACCTGTTATCCCGGCTGTCGCTGCCATTCCCTCCTGTGGAAAGTTGGGTCCTCACCCATCAGTCTTGCTTTGGCTTTAGTTCCTACTAGGGCTGGTGAAGTCCTCACAGCTCAGGACCTCTCGGCTTGAAAACAGACGAAAAGCAATCTGCTCACACTCATGTTCCTTCCCACACTCAAATAAACATGCGAATAAGCCCTGTTCTTCCACAACAGCCAGATCAGAGTAGCCAGAGGGCCCACAGTGCAAGATCCAGGGGCGGGACCAGCAGGTCACCTCCAAGGGGTTCCTGTTGTAGTAGATGCCCAGGTTAATTCTCTGCCTCTTACTAGCTGGATGTGAGTACAAGAGCCATGTTGGTGATGGTGTTCCAACGCCTTCCTCCAGTTCCAGAGAACTGTCCAGCAGAGGGCGCTTCTGGGTAGTGGGAGCGTCTTTACCACTTGGGTCTTGTGAGTAAGACATCTTCAAGGGCCGGAAGCTCACTACACTGCCTTGGCAGCCAGTGCGGGGCTCATGGAGCTGTGGGTTCAGAATTGGTTTCTGAAAGCACTCACCGTAATCAGTACTAAAAGATTCTGCTCGGAATCTGTTTGGTGTCCGGGCACTGCAGTAGAGCACCAGGTTACCTGCCCTCCCAGTCACTTCCGCCACTTGGCACTCGCCTGTCACCTGGGGCCCAATGAGCTTGCCATGGTGCCACGTGACTCCTAAGTCATCACTGTAGATCATCAGGGAATGGGGCTTGACTGAACACGGAAAGCAGAGGAACCAGCGTGAGAAATAGTAGGCATAGGCGGGGATGACCAGTCTCCCTGACTGCAGCTGGATACCATGACCTGGGCCCACAGCAAACGTGGCCCAGTGCTTCAGCTCTGAGCCAATGACCTCCTCAGTCAAGTCCTTCACTTCACCCCACGAGCACCCGGCGTCCTGGCTGCAAACGAAGCACAGGCGAGCGGCATTCTTGCCTGACATAATTTGCCGATGCTCAGTAACATGGTCTCGCACACAGGTGAAAAACAGGTACACACGCCCAGTATTCTGCTCCCACACAGGGCAGGGGTTCATGGTCCGATGACCAGGTAATGCGGCTTCCATCAGTGGCTGCAGGGGTCCCCACTAGTCCAGGGGTTAGAGAAGGAGATAGTGGGAGTGGGTTACTAACAGGAAGACACAAAGCTTATTAAAAGCATCAATTCTTTTCACAAACAATCTATGACATTGAAATGGACAGAATCTTGAAGGCCCAAATAATCACAAAATCTGCAACTATTACAAAGTGGCTTTACATTTGAAAAAAAAAGATATTCTAGCTATTGTAAAATGCTGTGGTCTCTCAAGAATGTTCTTCTTTGCTTCATCTGGACTTCCAAATCAATCTCCAATACCCAATCCAATGTCACCTCCTTTGGGAAATCTCCCTTGAAACTCACTCTTCTAACAAGTTATAGCAGCTATATGACACTATGCATATTTTTGGTAACTATCTCCCCTTTTAGACTAGGAGCCTTTTGGATAAGACCCAAATTATATGCATTTGTGTCTCCAGTACCTGGCACACATGATAGCAGGCCAATAAAAGTTTACCAAAAAAAAAGGGAGGAGGAGAGGAGGAGGAACAGGAGGAAGAGGAGGAAGAGGAGGAAGAAGAGGAAGAGGAAGAAGAGGAGGAGGAGGAAGGAAGGAAGAAAAGATAGAAGGAAAGAAAGAAAGAAAGAAAGAAAGAAAGAAAGAAAGAAAGAAAGAAAGAAAGGGAGGGAGGGAGGGAGAAAGAAGAGAAAAGAAAAGATGGGGGTCCGTGAGACCTCTCAGAGTGAAGGTGCGTGGCACCAAGTGTAATGACCTGAGTTTGATCTCTGCCTATCCTAGAGCAAATGAAACATCTAAAACTCTGGGCTCTGTCACCACAGGGCTGGGCCTCTGTGGAGTCTGACCTGGCAAGCTACAGAAGATCTAATGACATACAGTAAAAAACAGGGACTGGGAAGTCCTCAAAATACAAACTCCTCAGAAGGAAACGGGAACCGGCATCATTCAAAGCAAGGACGGGGGCTCAGCAGAGTCACAGCGTCCCTGTGACACAGCCAAGGACCCACTTTGAGTATGAAGCGCAGGCGGGGAGAAGCAGAACAGCAGGCAGGCTAGGAGACGAAGCGTTCGGGACAGCTGAACTAAGGCTCCCTTCCCTGGGTGGTTTTACCAGGGCATAGAAAAAAAACCAAATCTAGGCCATTATAGGGTCTGAATGCACCGCCGAGGCCGCGCCACCGAGGCCTCAGGAGCTGGAGCCCGGGTTTGTTCTGCTGCTGGATGAGAGATGCATGACTTAGAGTACATGAGAAACTCTTTGCCCAGTTCCCCCACGTGCAAATCATGACTGACAGCAGTGCCTAGGGTACAAACTGGCTCTTAAAATCCAGTGACTCCCTGGCACAAAATAACTCAGGAAAAGCCACTGTTTTTATTATTTCCCCTCAGCTCCCCACACAGAGATTTGCTGGCCAAGGTGGGGAGAAAAAGAACAGACCCGGAAGTGCACTCAGCTCTGAGGAGAGAAGTCGAGGCCCAGGCCCCTATCTGGGAAGAGTCACCTGTACAGAGTGGCCCTTCATCACCCCTCTCCTGAACACCAGGTGGAGAGCATCCACGTCTCTGCTTGTGGAACGCTTCTCAGCGAAGGCCAGGAAGGTGTGGACGGGAGGGATGTAGAGCAGGGCTGGGATCCGGTAGGTGATCCCTTTCTGGTCTTCCTGCTGGAACAGAGTGCTGTTGATGGGGCACGGTGACACTTCTTCCATGGCTTCTGCAAGGACAGTAAACAGTTCAGTGGGGGTCTGCACACGAGTTCACCGCTGAGGGTGTGACGTGCTCAAATGTCCACTGTTTCATATAAAGAGAACATCATGGCCTCAGCAGCCCAAAGCAAATAATATGCACCCTCAGTCAACAAATCTGTTCTCCAGACATGTTGATTTCTTGGCTTGGAGTTCCCGGGTTATTCAGATGACTATAAACTAACCCACTTGAGTAATATCACGATTAACAGTCCTCAAGCTCTCTCCCTCTCCTGAAGGCCAGGAGACAGGACAATCTTCTGACTCATCAGTAAGGAGGTTTACCCCTAGTTCACTCTATGTGGAGCACACACAAGAGAAGGGTAGATTCTCAAGGGATGCATCTTGGTGTTGTGAGCTCAGTTCCATGTGCTCTAGCTCAGGTGGACCCGCAGCTGTGACAGGACCTTGGGCAGCTGTGACAGGGTATTAAAAGCCACACTTTTACATGTGACCAGCTAAGTGTAGTTCAAGAGGTAACTATTGTGGCTTTGAGTTTTCTCTTATTTCCAGCCCTCTGGAGATTACATTCTTGCAAATTCAGCTACATGGATCTTTGCGATATTCTATCTGCCATTGCAGGCTAGCGGGTCTGTGATAATACGGAGAGTGGAAGCCTCCAGAAACTCTTTGAAAGCGTCCAGATATCCCACTTGTCAGAGGTCCCACGAGGGACTCAGACCAAACAGGCAAAAATAGGTCTAGGATTTAAACTTTCTTTCAAATGATCTGCCACCCAAGGCCCATCTTACAAATAATTTACATAAACAAATAAATAAAAGCGCTAGGCCAATGAGTCCCTCTTTATTTATTCAGCAAACATTTCTGAGTGCCTACATATATCAGGCCCTTACGGGAGTGTTGAGAAGCCACCTGTTTTCAAGCTGAGGCCAACTGAGGAGGGCAGCCGATCTGCACACAGATAAACACCAAGAAGTGCGCGCCACCTTAGAGAGAAACACAAGAGCAAGCGGGAAACAGAAAAGGCGCACCTGTGCGGATGAAAGCCCCAGAAAAGGACTTTTTGAGAAGGTAGTACTACTTTGCCTGGAACACGCTTTCTCAATAACCACCCAATTCCCCACCTCACCTCCCATGGTTTCAGCTGTGTTCAGATATCATCCAATGGGTGAGCTGTTACCTGGCAGCGCCCCTGCCGCCTCCGTGTCCTGTTCTCTGCCTATTTCTCCACAGGACTTAGCACTCTCTGAGGTCTCCTATATTATACACATACAACGCATGCTACAAAATCAAAGCACCACAGCGTCAGGTCCCAGCCCCCCAAGATGGTAGTCTGCGCTCAGCTGGACTCTGACCTGGGAAACACTCAGGATTCCTCAGAAACCTTGTAAAGTGGGTTTCTGTTTGCCAGTAAGAGCCATTACTTTCTTATCTTCTCCTATAGCCCCCCGCCCCCAATCTCCGGAGAGGGCATCTAGTTCTCTATTAACAAGCCTCCAGCAGATCAGAGGCCCCACAGTAGTTCCCAGGCTGTTCCAGTTAACCCGCCCTCCTCCCGCCGTAACCACTGGTAACTGGAAGGACTTTCCCGCCGTTTTTGCTATCTTCTCTGCTCCCATAGCCCTGGCGATTGCCTATCCCCTCCTCTCCCTGCCTTTTCCCTTTGCTCCTCTCTCTGTCCCCTAGAGGGAGTCATGGCTAGATTCCCCCAGATGCCTCTGGCTATTCTCTCTCTTATCTACAATAAAAAAAAAACCCTTCCCCCTAACCATGAGATAGCCATCTCTGTGGTTTCTTCATTGCACCCCTTGTTTACACATAGGACTACATCTTCTCACCCAGAGCCAAGCACGGTTTGTGATAGGCACCGGACAAGTATTTGCTGGATAAATGAATGCATAAATAAATGAACTGGAATATAAAGAGTATAGACTGGGTTAGCCAAGTGATGGGGTAAGAAGCAGAGTGGGTGGTAGCAAAGCCTTTTGGTAACAGGAAACAGTGAGCTGTGTAGGCTTTCAGTAGAATGGTGTGACTGTGACGAGCTGGAATGCAAAACCTATGAGCAAAGATAGGACTAGACAGCCCAGCAGAGCCAAATCCCGACAGCCTTTATCACCTTATTGTGGTCCCGATCCTACTGGGATCCACTGTAGAGTTTCTGATAGGAATGGCATCATGAGTTTAGACCAGTCTCTCAGGCAGCGTTCTGGCTGATGAGATACAGGGTAATGTTGCACTGTGTCAGTCCATCTCTCCCTTCGAGTCAAGCAACACATACGAATAACTCATCAATCAATCACTAAATTGAGAGAACTGTGGCCACTATTGGGAGAAGGGAAGGGGCATCAGCAAGACTGTGTGGACCGTCTTGTCTGCATGTTGTTAGAGCACGCCTATGCTCCGCATTCAGGCTCTGTTCTTTCATGCACCACTGGACTTCGTTCTAAGCCCATCTCTATCCTGAGTCACACTGCTGGTAATGCTTAACTGAAGATTTGGCTTAGAACACTCCGGGTTCTTGGGCATACATTTCACTTCTCTATTGCTTTGGGATCCTCATCTCCAAAATGAACTAAATGCTACAGAAAAAGAGTGGAAGAGCCTCAAGCAGCTGTTACAAGGCCTACTGCACAGCAGGAGCACATTACATGGCAGTCACTATGTCACTATTTTTCAGTTATAAATCATTACGTTTAAAAAGAAAAAAAAAAAGTCTCACTGTGTAGACCAGATTGGCCTTGAACCTGACATCCTTGAGCCTCAGCCTCCTGAGTATTAGGGTTCCAGGTGTGTGTCACCATGCCAAACAGGTGACATATTATTCCTGAATCCTGAAACTGATATATGACTGCAGCCATGCACTACATAAAATGTAATAATGGACTGTATACGTGTGGGGGTCCTGTAAGCATTGCAGTTCAGATGGAAAGGTATCCTGGCAGTTGGGAGCCAAGGAACACCACAAAGTCACTGTAAGCATAGCAGCTTACAGCCCTGCTCCAGGGAAGGTTTCCCCAATGCAAGTGTAACAGCTCTGTTCCAGCAGGGGAGGGTTTCCCAGAGAAGTTTTTACAGCTCTGCTCTGCTCCCCCGGAGAAGTGTTAATAGATTTATTGGGAAGGAAGAATCCAGGAGGGAGGCTGCCTTGGGTGAGAAACAGCAGCAAACGAACAGAGTACAGAGCTTATACAGGGTTTCTTGGGGGAGGAGGAGCTTTACAGGGTGGCTTGGGATTGGTAGAATTTTGTAGTCTGATTCTGGGGCAAGCTCGGGGATTGGAGGCATTTCAAGCTCAGGGACCTCAGGGATTGGTGGGATTCTGTGCTCAGGGATTGGTTGGATTCTTCAGTCTGACTCTGGGGCAAACTCAGGGATTGGTGCGATTTCAAGCTCTGGTCTGGGCTCAAATCAGGGTGATTTTTTCTTGGCCCAGGTCTCAGGTCTAGTCAGGTGCAGAGTGTTTTTCCTTGACCCTTTTTACACTGCAGGTTCCATATAAGAGTGCTGAAAAATTCCTATTGTCTAGAGACATCTTAGTCACCAGTGTCACAGCCCTGGCATATTACATATTTATTACTCACATGTTTGCGGTGATGCCTGTCATATAAAAATATAACACAACTGTGTACAGTTGATAAAACTTGAAATGACAATAAGCTATACTGCTGGCTTGAACATGCATTGCACTACACTTCCCGTCATTATCTTGGAGCACATACCTAATTACTCAGCTTCTGTGAAACAGCATGCTATATCAGCTGGTAGCATATTCCATACAGCCTAGCCATGCTGTAGTCTGTACCATATAGATGTGCATGTTCACTGATGGTGTTTTCACAACAAGAAAATCACATTAGTGGTGGTGTTCCCAGTACAAAGCTGCATCTTTAAGCATTGCATTATTCTATCAATAACAACTCCCCCTCTTAGCACCTGGGCCGATCTTGAACTTGTGATTCTCATGCCCCAGCCTCAAGAGTAAGGAAGGCATCGTGGCTAGCTCTCATTCGTTGAAGGTGAATAATGTGTACTTATGAGGACCACTCAAGAGTGCATTATAAAACTTTAAGGCACTATGCAAATAGATGTCTTTAATTATTATGAATGTTGACCTTTTCACAATTCACTTTGGGTTCTGCCATCACCTCAACCATTAGTCATTAATTTTCATTAATTATGAATGATATGGACGACAGCGGTAACACAGTGGCCTGGCATTGACACCCAAACAGTTCACCCAAACTATGTGCTGAGAACTGGTGACTGAGAAGAGTCACATACAGGTCTGCTTTGGAATTATTTGCTTTAGCGGAGAATTCTAAGTATTAATTGCTGTCCCACACTCTCTCATTTCAACAAAGTCTTCCCTGCTCTCTTGGGGAGAGAGGGTACAATGTAGCACGACTTTTGAAGGCTTGTTTGAGGAGGAAAACTTAGGTGAAACCACTCTGTTGCAAACCTAGTCTCAAAATCCCACCTCGGGACCTTTGTGGCCGCCCACAACTTCCTCTGTAGTAAGAAGGCTTTTTCCTCGGCTCGGTTCCCGCTTCGTTTCCACTATTCTAAACTACAGCTTAAGTTTGGCTTCAGATGTTAGAAAACAAAAATAGAACGGCCCAGAACACGCTCCAGCTGTGAGGTCCTAGCTGATTCAGGCTGACTCAGTATTCCTTCCTGACGCAGGTCCCCACAGTCCTGGGCCGTATTCGGGGTGACCCCCACCCCAGCTCACCGGCTCCAACGTCTCTCAGGGCTCTCCCGTGGGGTCTCGGAGGAGGGCCGGCAGCAGGGCTGGGGCGTTGGAGACAGGGAAGCGGCGACGAAACCCGCGAGTGCAGAGACAGACCCAGACACCGCCGAGCAGGAGCTGGCAGGAAAGAGACCGAGACCGCGCGGGGATGAAGTGACGCGCAGGAGAGCTGGCGCCCGAGGACCCGCAGCAGGCGGGTGCCAATCTTCGCGGCCTGGCCACGCCCCTCACCTCGCAGCGCCCGCCCTGCTCACTTCTCTATGCTCCTATCTGTCGGTTGGTCTGTGGAAGGTATCACCGCCTAAAACTTCCCTGGACAGCCTAATTGTCTAGCAAAGGTTCCGGGCCTCAGAGGGGACTACCAAAAAGACAGAGGTGGAAGGGTGTGTGCACACAAAGCCGTGGGCACTCCCCTTGCAAAAAAGTACCAGAATGTATATATTTATCAGGGCCTGGTGGCACAGGGCTTGTGAACTCAGCTAGTCTGATGAAGACTAAAGCTGGAGGAGTGTAAATGTCAGCTGTCTGGACTACAGAATGAGTTTAAGGCCACCCTGAACAATTTATCAAGAAGCCCCTATCACAAGATAAGTATAAACAGAGCTGAGAAACCAGCTCAGTGGTAGAGCACATGCCTAGCATGTACAACATCCTAGGTTCACTCTCCAGTACTGTAGACAATTTATTATGTATTGTCTACCCACATTTACGTACAAGTATCTGTCACTGAGTGCTGAACCCATTCTCTTGTTTCACAGTCATGTGCAAGGACCACCCCATTCTCCCCCACTTCCTCCAATCAAAAAAGGAAGAAGCCCCTCTTGAGACACTGCAGCAGCTAAGAGGGTCAGCCAGTGATGGGGACAAAGAGAGCCACAAATGACTCAGTCTGGTCACTAAGGCTGCCAGAAATAGAAGACCCGAAGGAAAATAAAGAAAACAAACAAAAACAAGCTGTAGAGTACATCACCATCAAAATAAGCATTAGAACTAGGACTTTTAGCGCCGTGGCATTGTCCTGTGGCAGGGGACTTGGGTTTGGCTTATAAAACTCAGTAAGACGTACTATAGATACTTTGACCTTATAATACTAATAATCACATCCCCAAATGTGGGTTTAACTATAGTAAGACAGGAAGCTTCACCACAGGACAGACTCCACAGGGACCTGGACTCCACCTCTGCCTGTGACGATGACAAGGGTCAGGGCCCTGCCCACTAAGGAACATGGCATCTGTTCCTCTTATTTCATTTCCGTCGTCTTAGGAGTCTCTCTTCCGAATGCCTGCCCCCTCTTGCTCCAGCACAGGAATACGGGGTCTTGTTTCTTTGACATGAACTTGCTCGATTCTTCTGAGTAGGAGTCACAGGGTGAGAAACAATGTAAAGTCACTTGTGTTGGAACCAAGTAACACAGAGGAATTCGGCAAAAGAAATAAAAAGGAAAGTGGAATACTAACTTGGAGGATGAAAAACATTAACTCCTACTGAATTTGAATCTGTGAGTCAGGGGAAGTGCAGAGAGTATAGAGTTGGGGGACATGTCATGAGTTAACAGATGGGCTTTCCTGAGAACACAAAATTTCATGATGAGCTTTTTCTTCTTTCCTTTTTAAAGGAAAACTATGAGAGACTAACCTAACCACACTGAGCTAAAATAAAACTGTTTCCTCCCAAAAGAACCAGTACTCCACAGAAAAATGGCTGACTTCAGAGAGAGAGGAGAAGAGGTACAGCATAGGCCTATGGTGTCTAGCCTTACCTGAAAACAGGGCAGCCAGAAGAGAGGGGCTTGCTCACAGCAGAAGAGCTCCCTTAACGAGGACCCTACTGCCAAACGTGGCAATAACAACAACCAGGTTCGGTGGAGCACACCGGCCCCAGTTCTGTAAAAGCAGACGTAAGGGAACCTCCACATGTTCTAAACCAGCTTGGTTTAAATATGAGCTCCAGGGTACTAGGCCTAAATATTGAGACCCTGTGTATTTAGTGGGGGTAAAAGAATAACAACTTACAAAGGAGTAGACTCAATATTTAAAATTCTGAGATCATGGTGCTGGAGAGATGGCCCAGTGATTGTAAGGACCCAGGTTCAGGACCCAGCACCCACGTGGTGGCTCACAAACATCCTTAGTTCCGGTTCAACAGGATTCGACACTCTCTTGGGACCTCTGAGAGCACCAGGCATGCGCATGGTGCACATACACACATGCTGACAAAACATTTATACACAAAAAATAAAGAAAAACCTTTAAAATACTGTGAGATGATGTTGACATATGGAGAAGAGGTGTCTGGTCATTTCAGGAAGCTGCTATGGTGAGAGTCAACCTAGAATACAAGAAGGCAGAATAAAGCCTTTCCTATACAAATTGTATTCAAGGTGGTTCAGTGTTCTCCTTTATAAATAATAATAATAATAATAATAATAATAATAATAATAATAAAGGAATTAGACAATTTCCTCATTTTACAATAACTCAGTGGCTACTAGAACCATCTGATGGTCAGTGTAAAATTTTTGTGTTAGATGCATCAAGCCAAAAACATTTGAGCTCACTGTGTAGCAAGACAAATAGAGGCAAACAGGTGATCATGTGGGCTCCCATAAGAAGTCTTATTGCTAAACAACCAATCTGAGAGTTGGAGGTGTAGCCCAGTGATAGGGTGCTTGCCTAGCCCTGGTTCAGTCCCCAGCCACCCCCACCACATGCACACACAAAGGGGGAGTAGAAAATGTGTTAAATAATGCCATGCCATCAACCTTGTTTGGATCCCAGATTGAACGAATCAGTTCTAAAAAGACACTGAGGTGATTTTACCAGTGACCAGACTTTAGGTGACACTCGGGATTTGTTTTTGTAGTTGTTTTCGATCTTCCCAACAGGGAGCACCAAGCTCCCAGACCTCAGTTTCTAACAATATGGACCAGGCTCCTTGTAAAATAAGTTGATCCCAGAGTGGAGCCGGGAAAAACACAAACTGAGTGTGGAACACCGTGCGGTGCATAAAGGTCACAAAGTGACAGGGATTCTCTCACAGGGGCTCCTTAACGGCCAAAGCTGGGGTCCACATGGTTAAAAGATACTGGTAGTGAGACTATAATTCCTAGAATAAAACAAAACTGATATGAGTAGTTGTACAAATAAACTAGGAAGGAGATAGCTCTTCCTGAGGGTAGAATTCTCGTTAATAAACACACCAGAGAAAGAAATAAAATGACCACTGTCTTCCCTTTAAAGGTTGGCAAAAGGGCTCCCATTTATCATAGCAAGATGTTATAGAACACAATTTTATTTCTAAAATACTGAAATGATTCAGAGTCACTTCCAAGGCTTTTCATTAGCAGTTGAGAACTCTGCCAACGCATGAGTCAACTGTTTTACTGTGATAGATGCTGGGACGCTTTGCAGGTCCTTCCTCAAGAAAGGCCTGTGGCCACAGCTGCAGGAACTGGTGTCAGGTTTCAGTCATCACATTGGAAGGTTCAGGGTTTCCTCAGCTGAAGAAAGCGCCTCTCTTGTGGTCAAGCCCTTTTCCCAGATTGACCCACATCCAACGTAAGGAAGTAACTGATAGGAGGGTGTAAAGATCGGGCCATTCTGAGTCAACTTATCTCCAAAGTAAGTCAGCAGTCAGGGCTGGTCACCTGAGCAGGCTTGCGCCATATCTAAACTCTCGGCACCTTTTGCTTGTCGCCTTCTTTCTCTAAACCATTGATTCGAGTTCCTTGCCAAACCCCGCCCACAGCCTGCTTCATGGGCAGAACCTAACCTGAAATACTGGAATGGTGACTGAGTTACTCATGAGTGGATTCCATCTTTTTCTTATTATTTAAACATTTCTTCATCATGTGTATTTGTTATACATTCAATTGTTCTACATAAGGATATTTTCATGCATGTATGTACCATACAAAACACCCCTCCCTCCTAAACTTTCTCCCCTCTCCTATTAGTCCTCTTGGTTCCTCCAGAGTCTCACTTCTACCTTCATGTCATAAATACATACAAGAGCTTATCCATAAGTGAGAGAAAACCTTCTCTCACATCTGACTTAACGTGATTATCTCCGGCTGCATCACCTTTCTGCAAATGACATAATTTCGTTCCTCTGTATAGCTGAAACAGAAAATCCATTAGGTGTATATACCACATCCGTTCCTCTCTTGTTGGACACTGGGGTTGGTCTGTAACTAAGCTACTATTAATACCGTATGTCTGTGATGTGTTAACTGAGACCCTCAGGTAAATATCTAGAGGCGACAGAAGTAGGTCATATAATACATCCTTTCATTTGAGGAACCTCCACAATGACTTCCATAATAGCTAGACCAGTTTCTCACTACAGTATATAATGGCTACCTTTGTCCTCATCCTCACCAACACTTTTTAAAAACATTTTTTTATTCTTTAAAGGAATTGATATATATGTGTGTAGATGTATGCCACAAGTGACCATGCCCTCAGACACCAGAAGGCATCAGATCTCCTGGAGCTGAAGTTACAGGCAATTGTAAGTTGCTCCTATAGGTGCTGAGAAACAAACTTGGGTCCTCTAGAGTGGCCTTAACCACTGAGCCATCTCTGCAGCCCATCTGTTCTTTTTTAAATGGCTGCTAGTCCTACAGGGGTCAGATGGAATTGCAAGGTATTTTCAATTTCATTTCTCTGATGTCTAGTGAGAGTGAAAATGGTTTTGTACGTCTATTGGCCATTTTGTATTTCATCTTCTGAGAACTATTCATTATTCCTTTGTTGACTGGTTGCTTCGTTAATCTCTTGTAGCTAGCTTTGTCAACGTCACACAGCTTAGAGTCATCTACAGAAAGCCTCAATTGAGGAATCACCTAGATCAAATTAGCCTGTGGGCTGCCTGCCCACTGTGGGCAGTACCAGCACTAGACAGGTGGTCCTGGGCTATCTAAAGAAGCTGGCTAAGCATAAGCCTGTGAGCCAGCCAGCAAGCAGCACTCCCCCATGAGCTCAAGTCCCCACCCAGATTTCCCCGTGATGTACTATAACCTATAAGGTGAAACAAATTTGTCTCCCTTGAGTTGCCTTTTGGTCAGAATGTTTTTTCACAGCAACAGTAAGGAGACCAGAACATTTATTTATTTATTTTAGTTCTTTTAGATATTAATCCTGTTAGAAATACAGCTAGCAAAGATTCTACTCCACTTTTTTGGGCTGTCTCTCTACACAACTATCATCTCTATTGTATCGCTTTTAAATTACTGTCATCATTTCTTTTTTGTCAATAGTTGGCATTGCTTCCTGATTGGGTTCTATCCAGAAAATCCTTTCCTGTGTCTGTATCGAGTGGTTTCTCTTTTCCCTCTAAGTTTCAGTTTTAGATCTCACATTAAGGTCTTTGGTCCACCTGGAGTTGGTTTTGTACAGGGCTAGAGATGGCATCATTTCCTCCTTCTTCTACATAGGGACATGCAGTGTTCCCAGCACCAGTTGTTGAAAATGCACTTTCCTCCAACATGTATTTTGACACTTTTCTTATAAGGTAGCTGCGGTTGCAAGAGTTAACATCTGGGTCTTCTGTTCCATTGATCTATGTGTTTTTGTGCCAGTATTGCTCAGCATTGCTTTGATTATCCAAGGTGTTCTGTTTCTGCATGGATTTTAGGATTTTTTTTTTCCTGTGACAATAACATTGCATTTTGATGGGGATTGCACTGAATCTTTAGACTTCTTAGTATAACCACTTTACACCATTTATTGTTAAAATCTGCAAACATAGTTGGTCTTCAGTATCTCCAGTGTTTTTGAGGTCTTCATTGTAAAGGTCTTTCACTTCTTTGGTTAGGTTTATTCCAAGGGCTTTTGGGGTGTGTGTGTGTGGGGGGTAGGGTGAACGGGATTGTTTTCCTCATTTCTCTCTCAGCATGTTTGTTAATACACTCAATGCTTTGTAAGATTTTTATATGGTAATTCTGTATTCCATCACTTTCCTGAAAGTGTTTATCAGAGCTGTTTTCTTGTAGCCTTTGGTTCTTCTATATATGAAATCTTATCTACTTTTTACAAATTTTTTTTAAGAAATTTTCTATTCACTTTACATACCAACCACAGATTCCCACCCCCTTCTCTCTTCCTACCCCCCAGTCTTCCCCCCCAAGCCACCCCCATCCCCACATTTTCCAAGTCAAGGTCTCCCATGGGGAGTCAGCAGAGCTTGGCACACTCAGCTGAGGCAGGTTCAAGTCCCTCCCCCCTCAACAAGGCTGTGCAAGGTGTCACACCCTAGGCACTGGGCTCCAGAAAGTCCGCCCATGTACCAGGGATGGATCCCGATCCTCCTGCTATCTTTTCCTGATTCTTAAAACTCCTAATTTCTTCTAGCCTGTTGTTTGTTTGTTAAGATTTATTTATTATGTATACAGTGTTCTGCCTGCATGTATGCCAGCAGGCCAGAAGAGGGCACCAGATCTCATTATAGATGATTGTGAGCCACCATGTGGTTGCTGGGAATTGAACTCATGACCTCTGGTAGAGCAGCCAGCGCTCTTATCTGCTGAGCCATCTCTCCAGCCCATTCTGGCCTGTTCTTAATTATTTCTTTCCACCTACTATTTGGGGTTTGGTTTGTTTGTTTTTTTTCTCCAAGACCTTACCTCATGAGCAACTACCTTTGAACTTACTTCTCACTACTCAGATTCTACAACCACCTCCCTAATACCTCACTATCAGGCAATTACATGGGAATTGAAAATATTCTGAGAAAGGAGGTCACAGACACCACCAGAATAACAGGTCCAAGGATTTTATTGGAGACAGTCTCACCACATAGCCCTGGTTGAGCTGTAATGTGCTAGGTAGGTAGACTAGGCTGGCCTCATCCATAGCCATCTTCCTCCCTTTGTCTCCCTAGCCTGGGATTTCAGATGTGCATCACCACATCCAGCTTTATAATCAGGTTTACAATCTTTGTTGATTCTTAAAGTGGTATAGACATCAGAAGAGACCTAAGCATGTGCACCCTTAGCTGCGTTCAGACTGTTCTATTTAATAACAGAGGATGTGGTCAGCGAGGGCGGGTATACTCTATAAAAATCAGCGTGACTGTAGCGGCTTGTCCTGTGGTGTCTGTTGTGGAGACAAGGCTTAGGCACAGTCAGATCAGTAAGAGTAGACAAAAGCAGTTAGTGAAAGAGGTCTTCGCAGGCTGAGTGAATCAGAGAGAGGTTTCACAACTCCTTCCATTCCCTGAAGTTCTAAAGCAAAAAGTGTTGTCTCTGAGATATATATGAAAGCATTACAAACAATAAATTGCAGAAATTTGCAAATAATGGCCTTTCCTCTCTTTAGTGGTTCTTTCTGCTTGAAATTTAAGTTCACGGAGGCAGGAGAAGAGCTGAAAAACAGGAGGATGTGATAGGCTCTGGGGTTTCCAGGAGGAAGGGCGCCGCAGATCCAGAGGGTCAGCAGCAGCCCAGCAGCAGCCCAAACAGGCTGCAGTGAACCACCATTCCAACTCTCAGGAGACACTCTGCAGTCTCACCAAGTGCCGGTCATGAAGCTGGAGTCTGCAGAGTGTTTCTGGTTCATGTGACTGACAATTATACACGATGAATGCCACCAGTGCAAGGGTGGTGGCAGTGCCCCAATCGGCTGGGCTGCTAACTGCTTCCTCAATACATCTAAACTGCTTAAACTGGCTTGAGGCAAGGGGAAACTGTAAGATCCCTGCAGTCCAAGTCCCTAAGTGGGTTTATTTGAACGTTTTACTGGGATTACAAATGTACCACCACATCTGGCTTCTTTTTACATGGATTCTGGGGCCAAACTCAGGCTCTTATGCTTGCATGGCAAGCACTTTATTAAATGAGCCACCTTCTCAGGCCCTGCATTATTACTTTTACAAGAGGGGGCAGGGGCAGATTGGAAGCTCAAGGAACTCTGACTTACCAAAGGCTTTTATAGGAAAGAGTATAGTAGAGAATCCAAGGCTTCAACATCTGGCCAGTCTTGTCTCACACTCTCCACTGGGTAGTGCTAGACAGGACAACATTCCCAGTGCTCTCCAGGTGTTTTCTCATAAAGTGAATATAGTTTTAGGCACTAGATTTAGTTAGAATTATACTCCTGAATGTCTAGAGGTACAATATTCCTAAGAGTCACAAGACTTGGTCAAGCGCCCAGTTCTCTGACCAGGTTGAGAAAATGCTGGAGGAAAAAAAAGTACTGTTGTTTTGTTTCTGAAGGAGCATAACCTCTGGAGCCAGGTTACTAAGATTTAAGTTCCCATTCTAGAAGCATCTGTGTGGCAAACTGTTAACTTTTATGTCTTGGCTTCCTCCTGTGTAAAGTAAGGAACAGTAGCTGCCACTGAGAACAACTGTGGGCATCCGCAAGTCAATGCATATAAAGTGCCCAGAGCACAAAACCAGCGCTGAGTGTCGCTGCTATCCCTAGAACTAAGCAGCCCTGGCTCCAGGTTCTCACCAGCCTAGAAGGGACTCCATCACAAGCAGTAAAGCACTTGCTGCGCTGTTCCTTCTTTCAAGACTAGGACTCCACGTTTTCACATCTTCTTTCATTTATTGAAAAAAATTTTAGAAAATGGCAGTTAATAAAGGGCACAAACAAATCAATAGGAACATACTAGTGGAAAACATAGAGCATATAAAACTAAAAATGCCACTGGCTTCTTTAATTGGTTAAGAGCACAAAATGTAATAGGCAGGTCGATTTTAAACAAAAAGCTAGTTCGTATTTTTTTTAAAATAATTCTCCCCAAGTCAAATATATATACACACCCACAAAAATGGTGTGTAAAGGAAAGCTCTCATACATGAGAAGTTGTATCCTGGATGGAAGGAAAGAGTTGCTGAGGCAGGGATTAACACAAAGTCAGCAACAAGTTAACAACACCCACTCCCCAAGATAAGGCCTGGCTCTACAGTCCAGGACCCCCCTTCCTCAACCTTCCAAGTGCTGGATTGTAGGTGAACACCACCGCCCAGCAAGGTTAGCGGTTCTTAAGAACTGAGCGTTCAAACGCTGCATGGCACAAAGCTATACTAAATAAAGTACTATTAAGTACAAAGGAAAAGTATGCTTGGCTTTCACAAAAAATGCTTCTAAAGGAAAAACAGTAACAACAACAAAAAACCCACCCAGCAGACCAAGGAGGCTACAGCTAGTGGTCAAAGATACAACTTTGCATATCTGTGCTAGGAAATTCTATTTATCCAGAGTGGACTAAACGGGCATTTTTGAACATTTCATACTCGACCAAGTTTAAGCTTTCTGTTTCTTCCCTACCCACCAGTAACTCATATGATCCAGCAGAAAGAGAGCTTTTAGAATTGGCTATTTTATTTTTCTTTCTGTGGCGAGACTGTCATGGAGCCTGGATATTTCAGGTTCATATGCATCCATGACCAGTGTCCCGCTGTGATCAAAGAACTTGGCGATGGACTTGGTGAACTCGGCTTCCCGCTGCTGCTTTGTCCTCCCACTGATGAAGGTCAACTTCAGGGTGTATTTGTCATCAAACCTAAGCATCGGGACAAAGAGAACGGATCAAAAACCAAACAGATGGGGAAACTGAGGAGATTTTAGGGTGAAGGAAGATGGTAATGGAATACCCAAGAGCAGAGGAAGGTTATTTAAGGGGAAGGAAGGGAATAGCCGAAGGGTAGCAGGGAAATGAGGGAGGAGGACCAATGAGAGCATACATATGAAAATGCCCCAATAAAACTCACCACTTCGTATGCTAACTTTAAAAATCAATTTAAAAACAAACAGGGACTCAAGCAGTAACATACCTCACAAAGTGCTTTTGAAAGGTGGGGATAAGCTTGGCACTGCTGATACAGACAGACAGACAGACAGACCTACTCCCAGGCTTCCTAATTGCTAATTATTATACTAATTATGCTTAATTACGGTACTAATTCTGATGCCTCCCTAGATATGCTGACATATCTTCCCTGGTACAATTACTGAACCCCAATGAAGATGAGAACACACTATCCAAGAAAAATATTCCATGTGGAGGAACCAGAAAGGACAGAGACCCTGAGGACATGCTTACTATGACTGAACACACTATCCAAGAAAAATATTCCATGTGGAGGGACCAGAAAGGACAGAGGCCCGGAGGACATGTGTAGTATGACTGAACATGCTATTCAAGAAAAGTATTCCATGTGGAGGGACTAGAAAGGACAGAGGCCCTGAGGACATGTGTAGTATGACTGAACACGCTATTCAAGAAAAGTATTCCATGTGGAGGGACCGGAACAGACAGAGGCCCCGAGGACATGCCTAGGATGACTGAAGAACAGAAAAAGAACAAGATGAATAAAGAAAAAGAGTATTGGTCGCAGGAGATGGGAGTGTTTGTGCACACATATATGGAACACACAAAACACACACATACAGACTGCTAAGCTGTCCCTAGGAATTTAGCCTTTTTCCTGAACAGGAGATCTCAAACAGAGGACTAAGTGGATGCGAGTTATGTATGTAGAAGACAACTTGCTTTACTTGCCCTGCAGGCAATGACTACAAGCAGGGAGAGATGCTGCAGGGTCCACCACCACCCCTACCCCCCTCTACCCCACCGTGAGGAGTTAGTTGGTAACTGTGGAGCTGACAAACTAGAGCACTCTGGAGTCCAAATGATCTGGACTTGTTAGAAATAAAACTGTCACTTACCCAGAAAGGAAAACTGGGGCAAGAGTGGGCTGGATAATGGGGAAGGGCGTTGAGTTTTACACATGTTAAGATGCCCATTAGGATCCAGTATCAGACAGAAAGCAGGATATATCTACAGTTCAGATAAAAGGTCTAGGATAAAAATGTAGATTTAGAGATCTTTATATAGGCAACATTTAAAGTCTTGAAAAGCTACATAAAGATTTCTCAAGTATAAAGTAGTTCTAGGAATAAGCCCTAATGTCACTTCCAATTTAGAGAAAGGAAAAAAGAAACAAAGGAGATGAAAGAAAAGACACCAATGTAATTAGAAACTTAGAAGAACATGGTACCCCAGAAGACTCATTAAAAAAAAAAAAAAAAAAAAACAGGCAGGAAACTGTAACCAATTGGTCAGTGCTGTTAACAGGCTAATGCTGTAGGATGATCATTCTGTATGCTGTGAATGTGTGTAGCTACTATTGGTTAATAAAGAAGTTGCCTTGGCCTATGGCAAGACAGGTTATAGCCAGGTGGGAAATCCAAGCAAAGATACAGGGAGAAGAAAAGCGGAGTCAGAGGAGACACCAGCAGATGCTGAAGGAGCAAGATGCCAGAGCACCAGTAAGCCACGGACCACGTGGCGAACGAAGATTAGTAGAAATGGCTTAACTTAAATGTAAGAGCTAGGTAATAATCCTGAGCCACCGGTCAAACAATTATAAGTAATATAAGCCTCTGAGTGATCATTTGAAAGCGGCTGTGGACTGGGGCAGGACAGGAAAGCCTCTGACTACAGGCTAAGATGAGGGACAAAAGGTAAGAGCTGCTCCAAGTGACAATGGGGGAGGAAGTAGATGACAGCAGTGACAGACACTGAGAAAAAAGTATGAGGGACAAAGGGGAGGGGACTTTTTTTTTTTTTAAGGCTAGGAGAAATCACAACCTGCTTCTATGTCAGAAGGAATGATCTAGTAGCAAGGAAAACATCAAGGAGAAGGGACAGAAAGGAGCATGCAGATGGAGGGAGTGGGAGCTTCTGACCACCTCTGCCTCCTCAGTACAGACAACAGCAAAGACAAGAGGTGATGCACAGGAGGTTTGGGGACAGATGGAGAAGCATGTAAGATCCTCCAAAGGGATCTAAGCCACGTGAGGAGAAGAAAGGCAATGAGAAGGTGGTCGGCTCCATGAACGGGGGCAGTACAACAGCCGGGAAAGCAGCAACCAGTGATCAGAGTGGGATGCTCAGAGCAGAAATTTTTAAAGGAGAAATGACAATGACTAGGATGTGCCCCATGGAAATACGTGCTAAACACACAGTGGAAGACAACATCATTGAAAGACAGTGAGTAAAACAGACCACAATTCTGCAATAACCATCTATCCAAACATATAAATACTGAGACTCACGGAAGGACATATATTAGAGAGTGCCACGAGCCAAGTTATCGTTAGGAAGAGTTCTGCGGTGAAGCACAGAAATGGCAAAATGTGAGAAGTACAATTCAAAGTAGGTATGTTGGGGAGGAGACTGAGGATGAGCAGGAAGAAGTGAGTGGAGAAGGGGGAATCAGCTCCATGTCGCCATCAGGGTAACAAGGACTACAAGACAAACATCAGCCACCACTTTCAGTATACAGAGGAAATGTGTCTTCCAGTCACAGGTAGGTTTCACTAAAGGAGGAAAAACAGGAAATGTTCACATGGAGAAGTTGTGGGAGATTTTGTAGATAGTCTATAATAACTTGGCTGCAAATGAAGAGGTCACACTACACCTGAGGCTAGGTTCATTGCGGTCATTCACACAACCAATTTTTTTTCATTTATTTTTATTTCTTATACACAAGTGTTCTGTCTGCATGCATGATTGTGTATTACTTGTGTGTCTGGTATCCGTGGAGGCCAAACAAAGGCACTAGAATCCTTGGAGCTGGATTGTGAGCCACCATGTGGGTGCTGAGGATCAAAACCTAGGTTCTCTGGAAGAGCAGCCAGGTCTTTTAACCATCTCTTTAGCTCCAATACAAACAAATTTTTTGACACATTTATACTATCTCCGACTTTGGGCGAGGTCTGAGGACTCAGAGATAAATGACACAATCCCTGCCTGTTTGTTCTTGGGAATAGTGAATGGTAAGGAGTTTTATGCTGTGGAGAATGGTATTGTGGGGTTTACAGTTTACCAACAGACAAGTAAATTTAACTATAGCTCCATGGACAACACTAGCAAGTAAAAATGTTCTTGGAATACCTAATTTAGACTAACATATATCAGGAAAGCCTTCTTCAGAAAGAGGGCAAACAGTTTATCTTGGAGACAGAAAATTAATCAAGCCAGAAATAAGTCAGTTTAAACGGAGAGTCACTGGGCAACTAGAGAAGTTGGCAAACTGCACAATGCTGTTAGCTTCTGAGAGGGGTATGAAGAAATACCCCAGTGGGAGATGCCACTGGGGGCAGATGAAGAAAACTCCAACTGCTGGGCAAGTTTCTACTATATACTAACTGCAGAAGAACAACTCACCGAAGGCTCTTTACACTTGAGTTAAAGCCTGTGCAGAAATATCTATAAATGTCTCTTTTATGGACAGGAGAGCAGAAGGGTGATTACTTAGGTTGCAAGAAATGGGGGAAATAGAAGATAATCACTGAAGGTACAGGGTTTCATTTTGAGGTGAAGAAAATGTTTTTATGACTGTGGTAATAGGTACAACTATAGATACAGGAGGAGTCATTGACTTAAACTGTGTAGGGGTGAATGGGATGATAGGTGAACTTTCTCTCAATAAAGTGGTTACAACACAAGGCAGCTGAGATGACTCAGTGGGTGAAGTGCTTGCCAGTTGATCCTCAGATCCTATGGTAGGAGGAAGAGAACTGACTCCCAAGAAGCATCCTTTGACCTCTACACTTGTATGTACCATGGCACAGGGGCACACAAGCAAATCACACACACCATCACCACCACCACCACCACCAACCACAACAATAACAACAACAACAACACAAACTGGATGAAAATAATGAAATCAATGTTGTTGGATTCTAGAATTATGCAACTCTGTTTTAGTGGCCTGGTGAAGAGGGCAGACTTCTCTAACGGTTGAGGCAACAAAACAACAACAACAACAAAAAAAAAACAGGTAGCGACCCTGCCAGGAGATAGCAGAACTCAACTGCAACATCAGAATGAAAGTCTGTTCCTCTTCCTCAGAGGTTACTCCACAAACTGCCAGAAAGGGGCCGGTGCTGATGTTACTTACCTTCAGTATGAATAATTATGATGTGATGGCCTGGATATGCTAACAAAGTGTGTCATGTATTTTTAGTCAATGACTAAAAACCCGAAATCTGTGCACAACTTAGGCTCAAATTCATTCTCTACCACTTCTGAGCTCAATCCTTTAGGCCATGCTCTTATCTGTAAATATGTGTTCTAAGGTTTAAATGAAGTAATGCATTTAGAATACTGCTGTGGTTTGAATGAAAATGCCACCATAGGCTCATATAATTGAACATTTGGTCCCCAGTTGGTGGCACTATTTGAAGAGGTTTAGGAGGTGTGGTCTTGTTGGATAAAATATATTACTGGGATGGGCTCTGAGGATCTAAAGACTTATTTCTAGTTTGCTCTCTCTGTTTTGTGCTTGTGGCTCAAGACGTGAGATGTCAGCTTGCTCCTTCAGCCACCGTGTATGCCTGTTGCCAAGCCTCCCGGCTGTGATGGGAATGGAACCACAAGTCCAAATAAACCCTTTGTAAGTTGCCTTGGTCATGGTGTTTTATCAAAGCAATAGGAAAGTAACAAATATCTAATATATAATAAATGCTGGATGTGTATTTGCTATAACTGGCATTTCGTCTTCCTAACAGCTCTATGGAGTTATTTTTTTACCTCACTAAACTTCACTTTACGTAATTTACCAAAAGCCATGAGTTAGAAACAAACTCACTGGAACGTGGACCCAGTTCTGGATACCAATGACCACCTGTATGTGCTCCCACAAGACAGAAGAGACTGTGGGGAGTAACACAGAAGCACCAAGCCAGAGACTCCTCAACACACTCAGAATGAAGTCAGAAGACACGGATGCTAAGTGGAGGCTCCCGAAAGATAACTAACCTCACACCTTTGATCTTTTAAAGAAGATTTATCCATTTTATGTGTATAACAGTGTTCACCAGCATGAATTTATGTGTACGACAAAAACAAAAAACAAAACAGAAGAAGAGGTTGGATCCCCTGGAACTCAAGTTACATCTGGTTGTGAGTCACTGCGTGGGTGCTACGAACCAAGCCCAGGTCCTCTTTAAGAGCAGTAAGCACTCTAAACCTCTGAGCCATTCCTCGAACCCAACCTCTGACTTTTGTTAACTGGACACAAGGAAAAAGACAATCATTCTCCAGTCTTCCACCGAAGTATATCCTGAGGGTATCTTCTATGATAAAGAACCTCAGAACTGCGGTGCTAGGAAAAATCTACCAGCTCATTCATCCCTCCACTTTACATGACTAGCACTGTAATCAGCACAGGAGCACAAACTAGTACACTGTGGGTCATGACAACATCCCAGGGCAAACCCAATGCCAGGCGTTAAGAACCTCTTAAGAACCAAGGATGGCCATTACCTTTTGAGGCTGGAGGACAGTTGCCAAATATCATCAGGATCCATTCCTGTAGGATCTTTTCTGTGGGCCACAAGAAAGATGCTCTTCTCCTTGTATGAGGTATAAATGGTCAGAATCCCCATCATCACAAAATAGGTTCAAATAATGTTAAGGGGAAAATATAAAAATATGCAAAGACAACTAAAGTAACAACAAATGACATACAAGAGCCACAAAAAAAATTCTTGACAGTCCTAAGTAAGTTTTATCTTACCACTAAAGCACTGAAAATTTAGTTATTTCCTTTTAACCCTTGTATTTATGTACCTAGAAGAAACAAGGCTCTCTCTGGTTAGTTCTCTAGATACCTCAAAAAGGAGACAAAAGGTACAGGACAAATAGGCTTTCTCATCTTTTACACTGAAGGACAACAGGTCTAAGAATGTCCTGTTACCTAGCTTCTCATGACTTCATTATCACTTGTGCTTATTTCTCGATTTAAAAAAAGGATCAGAGGCTAGAGAGATGGGTTAGCAATTCAGAGCACTGGCTGCTCTTGCAGGGAACCTGGGTCTGAATCCCATCACCCATATGGCAGCTCACTACATTCTATAGCTCCAGTTCCAGATCTGACACCCTTTTCTGGTTTCCTTGGGCACCAGACATGCATGTGGTACAGACATACAAGCAGGCAAAACACCTACCTACACATGTAAAATAAAAAATATATATAGTCAACTAATGTCAAAGTGATTTTGGTTTTAGTCTACTGTGAGACCAACTATGCCTAATGCACATGCAGACACATTATTCCACGGTTTGACAGTGTTAACTTATATTCAACCACTAACATGTTGTATGGAGTGTCATTTAAGTTTTATGAACTAGAAAGGCAGGAAACATGGTGTGAAGCATAAGGACTTTGGAGTTAAGACAGTCCTGGATTTGCATGTCAGCATTTAATAAATTCATTTTTCCCCCAAGTATCCTCATCTCTAAATAAGAATACTGAACTTTTAGAATTGTCAGGAAGCTAAGCGTGGGGGTGCACACCTATCATTTCCACACATGGAAGCTGCTAAGTCAGGACTACTACAAGTTTAAGGTCAGTCTACTAAGACCCTGTCTCAAACAAACAAAAATAGAATTGTCATGGGGTTTCTATATATAGCCATGTAGCACACAGCAATTATTTACAGTGGTAGTCACTAGCACTATATATAAAACATGAACTTTGGATCACGCTTTGCTTTAAACAAATATAACTGAAATACTGTCAAAGTAGTTCTTTTGGAGACTGTGTAACAGGGTTGCTGTCATTGTCTTGAGAATGGTCTCTAAAACTTAGGGTATATTCTTCTAGATTGCTTCAACAGTGAAAATTTCAAACAAGGATATTTAATCTCATTATTGAAGAGTCAAAGGTCACTTGTTGCCAAGTCCAGGAACCATCTATTTGTATAATACTATTTTTAATCAGATGCTTTATTTTATTTTTATTTATTTATTTATTTATTTTGGTTTTTCGAGACGGGGTTTCTCTGATGCTTTATTAAGATGGCTTGCTAACCACCTCTGATAGTGGATTTACTTTATTTTTAAAATTATATGCATATGTGTGTGTCCATGTAGGTATATGCACATGAGAGCCAGAAGAGTTTGTCAGGTCCCCTGGAGCTGGAGTTACAGATGGCTGTGAGCCACCTGACATGGGTTCTAGGAATCAAACTCTAGTCTACTGCAAGTACAGCAAGTCCCCCCAACTACCGCATTCTCTCCAGCTGTGGGAAAGTGGTCTGTAAGATGTTTTTAGTTAGTGGTAGAGTTCCACATACTAATGTGGATATAGATCTCTAATTTTTTAAATTTTACATTTTTTATTTATTTGGGGAAATGTGTATGTATAAAAGTATGTCGAGGCACAGGTATGGAAGTGAAAGGACAACTTGTGGGGGTCAGTTCTCTCACTGAACTCAGATCATCAATCTTGACAGCAAATGCCTTCACCTGAAGAGGCATCTTGATGGACCAAAAAAAAAATCCATTATATATTTTTTTAAGTTATAAAGTGTAAAAGTCATACAAACAAAGGGACAGGAGATGGGAGTGGAGGACCACAGAGAAATCATTCTATGAATGCAAATAAATTCCGTAATTAAGACCATAATAAAAGCTCTTCCCATTGAGGATCTTAGAAATAATCATAGAAGTAATCTATGTTTATCATAAAAAGGAGAGGCCAAATTCTCAGCTTACAATGGGATTTTGTAACTATGAATTAAATATGCATGTAATACACCACACTTGCAAACACTATAATTAGCCTAGCCTACCTTGAATGTGCTCAGAATATTCACATCAGTCAGTCAGTTGGGCAAACTCATCTAATACAAAGTCTACTGTGTAATAACATGGTGAATAGCTGATGCAATTTATTGAGTACTATACTGAAAACGGAAAAATACAATGGTTGTTTGGATATTTTTTTCATGCCATTATAAAAGCAAGAAATCTTAAGTTGAACTCTTTGAATTTAGGAAATATACTATAATCTCCCATCTGATTTTTTTCTTTTTCATTTGTGTGTGGTATATGCACATGTATGTGTTCACATGTATGCACATGTATGTATGGGTACACAAAGACATGTATGTGTGTATGGAAGCCAGGGGTCAACACTAGGTGTCTTCCTATGTCACTCTCCACCTAATTTTTTTGAGGCAGGGTTTCTTACTAAACCAACCTGGAGATCACTGATTCAGGTGGACTAGCTGGCCAGATGGTCCTGGGATCCCTGTCCCTACCTCCTCAGCACTGAGATTACAAGCCTGTGCTGCTCTGTCCAGCTTTTAAGTGGGTGCTGGGGTCCCAAGCTCAGGTCTTTGTGCTTGTGTAGCAAATATTTTAACAACTGGGCCATCTCTCCAGCCCTCTTTTTTTCTAATTTTTAAATGCTATAAGGTTTTGCCAGGTAGCTGGCTTGAAACTCACGATCATCCTGACTCATCCTGGGAGCTGGAATTACAAGCATATGCTACCACATCCAGTGTCCCACTCACTCTGGCAATTTTGAATGGGTATTACTTACATTTTTTTCCTTTTAGCCTAAGGTCACACACACCTTGGATTTCAAACTCATGTTGTATAGGATTTTGAACCCATGTTGTGTAGGATTTCAAACTCATGTTCTGTAGCCCCAGGAGTCCTCAATCTCACTGAAACACGGACCAAATCCACAACTCATGCTCAGGACCTCCCCAGCCAGCTCTTCAGCTTCAAAGAAAAATAGGAAACAAATTCAAACTTCTAAAATCCAAAGCTTTTCTACGAATAGTTAGGAATAAACGGCTTAAAGCAACCCAGTCTAAGGGGAAAAATCCAATGAGTTAAAAGAGCTGGGTCTCACTATCATCGTGTGTTTTTGCTTTAGGTCTCCTATTAGTTAATAACTAAGTATATAGAATAAAAACCTTATTAAATACAGAATATCAATGATATAGCATGAATTTACAGGTACGATTTTTAATGTTAATGCTAACATTAGCAAGCCCTAAAATCAAAGCTTTTATGGAAAGTAAGGATGATTTAACAGCAGATATTTTTGAACTGTTATTAAAAAGCAAACCTGAGCATAAAAAAAGGATATGATATGACGCACAAAGCCAAAACTGGCTTGGACTCTGGAAAGGGGTGCATGTAATCCCAAATCAAAGCCACTATGGCAAAGAAGCAGGAGATGGTACAGATGGTGAGGCGACCGTCAATTAAACCAAAGTTCTCCACGTACTTGTATTTTTCCAGGAGTACCTAGTGAGAAGCAGAATGGAAGGTAACAGCGATGCATCCTTGCTGTGACTTGCTTTTACAGATCCCCACTTAGTCATGTCATGAACTGCAGGAATGAACAAATGTTCTCTTCGACTAACATCTTACCACTCTAAACAAAGAAGCTCAAACCCTCTTTAGAGAATCCCAGGTGGGTTTTTTGTTTTTTGGAGACAAGAGTTTCTTTGTGTAGCCCTGGCTATCCTGGAACTAGCTCTGTAGACCATGCTGGCCTCAAGTGTGCCTGGCAGTACCTTACAAAGTTTTTAAATTCTCAACTTTTCTCATAGGACACAGCTAACATTTTCTTTTCTTTTTGCAAATGAACCCTCCATAGTCTACCTTCCCAAACTTCTGTGTTCTAAGCTAATTAATCTCAAAACAATGAATTACCAATTTTCTTGACACCCCAACATTCATGTTGAAACACACTTCCTCCTACTTATTCTGTGATCATTTTAGAAGCCCTTTTCTGGCTCATTTTCTCACTTTGAGATCTGTAAGGAGATGTATCCACAGGCTAAAAACATGCTCATGAATGTCTTCAAAAAATGTACCTTTTTGGCGGAATCATCCAAAGAATTTTTCACAGCTGATCCATCCCACTTATCAATTTTTACAGGCTTATCATCAATCTTCCACTACAAAACAAATAGAAAAATTGTGCATCAGAAAACGTGGCACCTTACAAAGTAGAATGAGCTATATTCTTCAGGTCTCTGAGTATTTGAACATTCATTCTTTGTCTTCGGATGTTGAGACTAGGCACTAAAATCAGGTGAGTTCTCATATGGATGGTGCAAGTTTCCACACAGAAAACTCAAATCCCACAGCCTAGAACCAGAACACGTGCATGTGCTATGTCAACTGATATATCCCACCCCCATTTAACCACAAATGAGTGCAGAAAAAAAAACTGCTTTTGTTCACCCTAACATTCTATAAGCACAAAATTCAGCAAATATAGATATGAGAATTTACAGACACTAACAGAGAGGGAAGGTTATTTGTCTGAGAACAACTTGAATACTTTATTACCATGTTGTAACTTTAAGACAGCAAATCCAGTATAATCTGTTGAAAACATCAAATTTTCAATTATAAACCAAGTGTCCTAGTTTGCTTTCTGTTACTCTGATAAAATACTATGACCAACAGCAACTTGGGGAGGAAACCAGGGAAGGGATGCGGCTCGGAGACAGTGTTTGCCTAGCATGCATGAGGCCCTGGGTTGGCTCACTAACTTTTCAATTCACAATCATTTGGCTTGAGAATGGATTCTTTTACTGAAAGACAGAAAACACTTCTACCTTATCAACCTTTTTACAAAGCTGTGATTCTATATACTAATATACAATAAGAAAAGTGAAGTCTGTAAAGAGGAATAAATGTAAACTGAATGCTACGTGTGTATGTGTAAAATTAGTGTGCATGTTGTATATGCATATGTGTGTGTGTGTGTGTGTGTGTGTGTGTGTGTGTGTGTGTGTGTGTGTGTGTGTGCGTGTGTGCCCTCAGATCCCCTGGAGCTAGAGTTACAGGTAGTTGTAAGTCATCTGAGAGGGTGCTGGACCAGAACTTGGATCCTCTGCAAAAATAGCAAGCACTTTTAGTCACTGACCAGACCCTAAATTAGCTATATTTAAAGACTTTTTAAATCAAATCTTTTCCCATCAGTGTCTTACAAAACAAATTTTTTCTTAATTACTTATGGTGACATTTTTTAATACTGATTCTCGTAATCTGTTAGCCTACTAATCAAACATTAATTTTTAAAATTACATATTGAACTAAGAATAACTACTTTTTTATCCAAACAGCTAGCTTATATGCATTCAGTCAAGTATATTCTATTTTAATAATCCCAAAGAATTTGTATGCATTATCTGTGAAATAATGAAGTCATTTATAAATTTTTATCATTCCAAAAGAGGACTTATTCTCATAGACCCCCGCCTCAGACACACATCACTGAGTGCAGCACAGTCCAGAAATGGAACTCAGCTCTACAATCTCTCAGCAGTTTCCAGGGATAAGGTGCAGAAGCAGCATTAACACGCTGAATAAGCCTCAGTTCTAACTGCACTGCCTGGTTCGAGAAACTTCAGCAGGGAGAACAGGAACTTTTCCAGTGATTACATAGATCATGAGAAAGGTTTTCATTTGGTTTCCGAAGAGAGGGATGCATCATTTTACTTTGTATGCATGCAAAACCTTAGCCCTCTCTGCTATAGCACAGAGAAATATCTAAACAAGCGGGACTGACATTAAGTTCCTATTTACATTTTGTTACCATTTCCCATCACTCTCAAAAACTGCTCATCTAAAATGTATGCAAATTACATCTCTCCTGCTGTTATTCATGTTATCTTTTCCCCTCCCCTTGGTCTTCCTAAACACTAAGAACAGGAGCAATAGAAAGGAACAAAAAGACAAGGCAGGGGCTGGGAGATCAGTGAGCTCTGAATTCAATAAGAGATCCTGTCTCAGATAAAGGTGGAGCCAGGCATGGTGGGTTATGCCTTTAATCTCAGCACTCCAGAGGCAGAGGGAGACGGCTCTCTCTGAGTTTAGGAGGCCAGTCTGATTTGCACAGTTCCAGGCCAGTCAAGGCTACATAAAAGACTGTCTCAAAAACCAACAAAAAGGTGGAGATCAACTGAGTTAGATACCCACTGTCAGCTTTTGGCCTCCACACACACACACACATGCACCTACATATGTAAGTGCATGCACATACACACAGAGAGACAAGGCAAAGGCAAGTTTGTTTCACATGGGACCTCACAGGATAAATTATGATGAAGGGCAATATGTGGAAAGCAATTACTGTAAGTCTTCCTAAGGACTGCCCTCTTAGTTAGGCAGGCAGATTTTCCAGGCTGGTCCCTGCCTGCTATCTGACAACTTGGCTGTTACAGTTCCCTGCACTGATATAAGACATCCCCTACATGCTAAAAGAGCTCCCTTGTGTCTAAGCTCTGTCAACAATGTGATCCATGCCAAACACCTTTCCTTTTAGGAATCTGGTACAAACTTGGCATAAGGTGCCCACTTAACCAGCCCTACGGAAAATCAAGCACTGTGTGCCTAATGATGTTCCCTGGCAGACACCACTTCACATGGACTGTCTGTCCTAACTCTCCTTACTGAAGGGATGTATTTGGGGACTCTAATGGCAGAGGAACTCTAGAATACCACTTGGTTTCCTGAACACTCCACCCCATGGGGCTATGATAGATCCTACTACAAGCAGCATTATAATACTGAGTCTCATGGTTTATCTAACATAGCACTAGTCTTGGGGAACTCTCCTGACACATATATATTTATTTTTCCTGCTCCTGCCATCTTTTCAATACAGTCATAGTACTGATTTGGAATTATTTAATAGCTTAACTGGATCAGATCATGACTCTGAGTTCATACTATAACTATACAAGTTATTCATATTTATGAATGAGTCATGGTGGTTACTAGAAATCATTTTTATTGAGAGGAACAAGGCATGCTTGTCCTTGCCCACACTTTGGAGGTCAGAAATATCTAGCTAACAAGTTCACAGAAAAAGGGTACACGATGATTTTCATGATACTCAAGACTCATTTCAATTATGATTCTCCAGTGCAGAAAGTTCTACAAAGACTTTTTACTGCAGGCATAGCACTGGGGATCCCACTTCTCAAGTGCTTAGGTAAGTTTTTCAATACTTCTCCGTATTGAAAAATATGTAAACAATACAGGAAGTCATTCTACAAAGACTTTTTACTGCAGGCATAGCACTGGGGATCCCACTTCTCAAGTGCTTAGGTAAGTTTTTCAATACTTCTCCGTATTGAAAAATATGTAAACAATACAGGAAGTCATTTTTCTGAATTAAATGATTTGGGAATTACAGCCTCTGTTCCCCAAGCATCTTCTGGCATTAAGGGCTGGGGATGGGTCAACAAAGGAAAACACTAGTCATTAGGGTAAGCAAACAGTCCTGAGTATAACGTCGTAGCAGGTACACTTTCTTCACTTTAGAAAGTATGTGGTGATATGAAGACCGCACTGGACTGCTTCACAGAGTTCCTTAGCCTGACTCAAATGATTCCTTCCCTCACTCTGGTGAGATGGACACTGGGGGTGACAGCATCAATGTATCAATGAAAGGACCCCACTCGGATTTGGAAAAAACACAAATTTTCTCTCCCTTCTTTTTGTCTACTCCAGTTCGGAAAGTGGATAGAAGCCGCAAAGCAGGACAGTTAGTAGGAACAAGGCACACGGCTGAGGGACCAAATGCTTACAAGGCTAAAGGTAAAACGTGATTCTAAGCAGGAAATAGTAAGATTTTAAGTGTGCAAATGTCAACCAACTTTATGTGTTTTAAGGGGTTTTGTTGGTTTCATTTTGAAAATCGTCTCACAGGCAAATCTCAAAGGTAACACCAGGGACATATATAATCTATAATTATAAAATTCTGCTACTAATGTATAAATTAGATGGGTCCTTTTTAACCTAAATCCTCCATACAGCACCAGCAAGTGGACGAACAGTGAACACTTACAGCAGGAATGAATGGACTTAGTAACATACTAGTCAAAAGTAACATGACAAGAGACAGGTGACCACCTATCAGAACTAGGGCTTAGACAACTTGTCAGAACCATCACGTCACTTCCCAAGAGAAGGAACAGAGGAGGAAAAAGGATAAATATTCCTTTGTGTATGCTGGGTTTGAGATGTATAAGCTCTACTGTTATATTTTACCTCTGACTCCAGATTTTTCTAACCTATAGTAAGGAGATGACAGAAACTGATACTCAGAAGCTGAGATGACCACAATTTCCATCTATACACATTTAGCAAGATCAGGAGTAACAAGTGCAAAAATAAAGGGAAAAACGTTAATTCGGGAAGAAAATGATGTGTATCTTAGAATGCAGTTGCTTAATTTAGATGCAATTTGGAAACCCATGGTATCATCAAGACAAGATTACAGCTCTTAGCAGCACACTGAACCTTTAATTTCAATCTTTTTTTTAAGGGCCAAGAAATACTGTAATGGAAATTACTGGTGTAGGAGTACTTATTAGTGGTTGTATTTATGAGTTAGTTGGAGGTTAGAAATTACAACGTGTCAGTTAAATTATGAACATGCACATTAGTGGCAACTCCAGAGAAACTGATTACTTCCCCCAACCCCCAACTGCTTTCTCCATGGTCCCAAACTATATGGGAGCCTGGCCCCATGGCTCAAGAAGCCTACACTACTGCAATTCTAAACCAGAGCATGCCTGTAATCCCAGCACTTGGGAGGTGCAGGCTAGCTATTAGAAGTTCAAGATCATCCTCAGTTACATAGCAGCTGGAGGCCAACCTAAAATACGAGACCCTAACTCGAAACAACAAGGTTAGGTATATACCTTTAGTCCCAGTGCTCCAGAAGGCAGAGGGACACAAATCTCCTGGAGTTCATGGCCAGGCTGGTCACAGTGAGTTCTAGAGTTCCAGACGAACCAGCACTACATAGTGAGACTGTCTCAAAAAACATAAACACAAAACAACAACAACCCCAAGAAACAGAAAGATGTAAGATGTGAGTCCTTAGTCTACGGAGGGGGGCAAATCACACATTTAAAAACTACATGCAACC